CGCTTCAAATGCTTGCAAAAAGTACCGATCAGCATGCAGGGAATTACCAAATTAACAGTATAAAATAGAGTTTTACGGCGTAGCGATAGATCAAATGTGACATCAATGTAGAATTCTTGCCCGCAGCATCCAGGATACAAACGCTCATGCCGTCGGCTTGTTAAACTAATCAAGTCCCATTCGCGGCTTCTAAAAAAGACTTAAGCGATGTAGAAACTTTGCAACAGTAATTGCAGTAAAAGTAAGAAGAAGTTCAAAAAGGACAAAAATGCCAATTTTCAAAACTGGGGATCCTCAGCTTCTTCAAGGGATCGAAAATTTTTTTTATTGTTAAATCTAGCAATTTTTGGTCAGTTTTCTTGTTCATGGAGTACAACTGATTAATTTTTGTGTCTTTTTACTAAATATGATCGTCAATTAAATTTTATGCTTTCCGGAACTCTGTCATGGAAAACAAATAAATTTTAAAGAGATATTGGTGTTCCATTTGAAAAGATAAAAAATTCGCTGAGCTTTTTCTATTTTTACTATTTCTAACGCAGTAATTATCTTACGGATAATAAGACGACAAATCCATCCCTTGTTCTAGGAATTGATACTCTTTTCCATTTTCATCGTAACGAGTCTCGATATTATCAGTTGGATTTGACTGCAATAAATAGGTAGTTTTTGGGATTAAGCAGTTGTTTTGAAGATAGAAACATTCCTTACCATTATCTCTTGTTAAATGAGGGACGTGTGGGCACGATGCTGTGTTGGCTAATAAATTAGGACTCGAAAGATCCAGAAGCATTGAAGATTGAACGATCGATATGTAAAAAGATCCTGACTTCGTACTCAATGACCTAGTGCATGTTTTGAGCCCAAATCCCTGTTTTAAAAATGTAATTTCATCTACAAATAAGCTGGAAGATGAATCACACGAAGGCAGCTAAGTGTCAGCAGAATCAGTTTATCGGCAACAAGTACTTATCAGCTGCATTCGTAAATTGGCTTTTTCCACTGGTTACAAATATTGATTTGGTGCACAGACGGGCCGCTCTGACTGTGTTTACAGCTAAGGGATGAAATACAGACTGCTCGTTTAAACTGAGTAGTTTTACATCTACCATAATGCTTCACTCTTTAGAATAACCCGTCCCTAGCTTCAGAGTCAGCCTCATGCCTCATGGATTGATGAATCCCGCCTTAGAATCGTTCAGCTGCTATCCACAAAAGTTTTTTGTAATCGGTTGCAAATTATCAATGAATATTGTATTTCTTACTGGTAACTGTCGTACATCGAGCAGAAATCCGTTATATGACCAACCACCAAATTTCATTGAGCAGGATTGCTTATCGTACGGAAAATATTCAATATCAATCTACAAAAAACTTTTTCAGTCAGTCTGATTTACAAGCAAGGCAGTTTGCGCAAGAACTCGAATTGGACTGGTCATGTGTTAAGAAAGACAGGAAAAAACAGGTGGTAAAAACGGATTTTTGGATGGTATTCACATAATATTAAAAGAATATAGGGCGGGTCGTCAGATCAGATGAGCTTATGCGAATGTGATGTGCCCAGAAAGCTATATTTTTGACAAAAAGAAGCAACAACTCATCAAAAAATACTTAAATTACAAAAGAATTTTTACTGCTTAAATTTTTTTGAAAACTACAAAATTAACCGGACAAAATGACTTATAAATGCTTGGCGGCTTCCATACCACAGCACCTGTATAATAAACCAGGGCATCGCTCATGATTGTTATATGTGGCTCGCCGTCTGCACTGAAATTTAAACCACTGATGCTGCTAATAATCAAGAACTCAGGTCACGCCCCAGTCCGGTACTTTTTGACAAAACTGGTACTTTTTGGCCAAAACAAAAACTTACGCAGTATCGCGCCTGACACTTCACCCCTTTGCAAGCCTAGCTTTTCACGCATCCATTTCACTGCCCCCTTGTTCCGATCGAAAAAAAAAATTGCGGTGTAAAAATTTGACGTAATATGATGCAAATACTTTTTTACTTGTTGTAAAGTAGAATGTCCGGAATCCATATCTGATCCGATGGAACATGCAACTTCCGGATGTTATTCCACTTTTCTGGATCCCATGTCAGTTTGTAATCGTTCCATTGCTGCAATTATTCCATTTCTTAGAAAATTTTGATGATTTTGAAAGTGGAAAAACTCCTTGTGCTTCTGTAGAAGTGTGATTCTTTATTTACGTTTTACGTGCTACTGGCATTGGAGTAATTCGAAAATAAAGAAACCAAAAAGAAATTAATAATGCTAAACTCAATAACTTGATTTACGAATCAAAAATTACCTAATAACTCAAACTCATTTATGGCTCAAGCATTTTGTTTAAATTTGGACGTAATTTGAGGTTAAGTAATAAATTAAGCCACGGCAGATTAAAACAAAGTTGAATGTTAATAATTTAAATAAGTGCAGAAAATTAAAATTGCCGCAAAAAATTATTTCCCGATTTTTGAAAGGCCTTGTTTCCCCGTTTCTTTTGCTCGCCTATCACTTTCCTCATTCCAAAGCTTTCGAATTCCCTCTCCCGTCCTCTTTCCCTCTCACGCCCTCCTTTATTTTCCCATAACTGATATTTTTCAAATGACAAACCATTTCAAGCCAAAGATTAGTGGTGAGCACCTGATTTACCTCGTCCTGAAAAAGAAATGGCAGTGAGAAAAAGCCTGAGGTAACGGAATTTGTAAAACTTTATGCTCTTATCGCATTAACATTGGTACTCGGTCCATAACAATAGCCTAAAGATTGAAGATAGATATTTTGCATCTTTCGTTTCAAGTAGTTTTGTTAGCTGACACTGCTGAATAAAGTGCGGCATTTACGTAAGAAAAGCACTGACGGACTTTTATGGTTGCATAAATCCACAAAATAAAAAGTGGATCGAATTCC